ATGTGTGTGTTTATCTGTGTGTGTGTGTGTGTATGTGTGTGTGTGTGTGTGTGTGTGTGTGTGAGAGAGAGAGAGATAGAGAGAGAGAGAGAAAGAGAGAAAGAGAGACGGAAAATGGAAGAGAGCGTTAGAACGAAAGAAAGAAAGACACACACACACACACACACACACACACACACACACACACACACACACACACACACACATACACACACAGACACAGAGAGAAAAAGACACTGTGTGATAGAGACAGTTTGTTAGACATACAAACAGACAGACAGACAGACAGAAAAAAGGAAAGTGAGAGAAATCATCCTAATCATTAACATCGCTGACATGCACAAACTCGATCATACAAAACATGAAGCTGGCGAGGGTGATGAAGGCTGAGATAACGGCCACGATGAAGGACCAGCCGATGTAAAAGCCGCCCAGGACATCCACACTCCGCCCCAGGTAACGAATCACTTCCCGCTCATCCAGCTTGAGATTCTTCAGGTAGTCGTTGCCTTTGATGCCCATCACTACGAGAGCCATGAGGGTCATGCAACCTGGGCAAAGATGAGTGGATGAATGAATGAAGGAATGAGTGAATGAATGAATGAATGAATGAGGGAATGACTGAATGAATGAATGAATGAGTGAATGAATGAATGAAATAATGAATTATTGACGCCCATCACTACCAGGGCCATGAGGGTCATGCAACCTGGGAAAAGATGAGTGGATGAATGATTGAATGAATGAGTGAATGAATGAATGAATGAATGAATGAATGAATGAGGGAATGAGTGAATGAATGAATGAATGATGCCCATCAACACCAGAGCCATCAGGGTCATACAGCCTGGGAAAAGATGAGTGGATGAATGAATGAATGAATGAATAAATGAATTAAGAGACGAATGAATGAATGAAGAGACGAATGAATGAATGAAGAGATGAATGAATGAATGAACAAATGATCCCCATCTCCACCAGGGCCATGAGGGTCATACAACCTGGATAAAAATAAAATAAAATAAAATAAAATGAAATAAAATGAAATAAAATGAATTAAAACTAATAAAACGAACTAAAGAAAAAATAAAATGGGGAAAAAATATTTAACAAAGTAAAACAAATAAATAAAATGAAAAAAAAAATTCACAAATAAAAAAAATTTAAAAAATGAAAATAAAAAATGAAATAAAATGAAATAAAATAAAATAAAATGAAATAAAATAACATGAATATTTTTAAATTAAAAAAAACCCAATATTTTTTAACATTGAAAAATAAATACAATAAAATATAAATTTAAATTAAAAAAATAAAAATAAAATAAAATAAAATAAAATAAAATAAAATAAAATAAAATAAAATAAAATAAAATAGAATAAAATAAAATAAAACAAAATAAAATATTTCATGCAGCCTACACAAACAGAAATAAGGTAAAATAAAAAATATATATTTATACTACATGAATGAATGAAAAAACAAACGAAAACCACCACCACTGCCAAAAAGAACTACAAAAACATCATCATCATCATTAACAACAACAACAGCAACAACAATAACAACAACAACAACAACAACAACAACAATAACAACACCAAAAAGAATAACAAAAACATCATCATCATCCTCATTAACAACAACAGCAACAACAACAACTACAACAACAACAACAACAACAACAACAACAACAACAGCAACAACAACAACAACAACAACAACAACAACAACAACAGCAACAACAACAACAGCAACAACAACAACAACACCAACAACAACAGCAACAACACCACCACCTCCATCATCAACAACAGCAACAACAACATTTGATTATAATAATTAATTGTTATTAAAAGGGTGTAATAAAAATGAATAATAGATAGCATTTGTATAGCGCATATCCCCACTCAACAGCAAGCTCTATGAGCCGTGCAATCTATAATATTACATCAACAGATCATAGAACACTCAGAAACATTCTCGGCTTCCTGGGAAGCATACACAGTGCAATTAGTTGATTAAACTTTCGAACTCTAACAAAATGTACAACAGAAAACCGATCAAAATACATTGTGATTGTTGCTTTAACATAAGATTTTCTCTTAATCTGAAAATGTGGCTTTGATCGTTCTTTCACTAGATGTTCAAATTTTGCTGTAATTCTGAATAAGCCTTTCCTTGTGGTTTCATTCCACCAGCACAATTTAGCAAAATTTGATCATTTTTTGCATAATTTCTAATTATTTTCCTTTATCATTCTTTGTTAAAATTAACAGAATCGCATAATTTCACATTTTTATGCTCAGTTTGCATAATTTCAGAATTTTTCTTGCATAAGACGACGGGGACAGGTAAGCCTATCTTTAGAAATTGAAATTCTATTTTATGACAAAAGACGGCACTCGCAACTGCATAAGGCCATAATTTGTGAGCGCACGGGACACATTAAACGTTTTCAGTTTGGTAGGAATTATTTTTAAATTTTGACCACGTGGCGGCCGAAGCCTCCTACCCTTATCGATCTTTTTTTTTTACCACCAAGGGATTCTTAACGTGCGCAACTTGAACACGGGACCTCCGATATTTTTCGCCCTTGTCCGAGAAGGCTAGGTGTAGATCTTTCCTACCAGAAAATCAGGGTTATGGCTGAAAGACAGCAGTAAGAAGGAGCGAAGGAGTAGCAGTAGAAAGGCTGCTGAGTCAGGAGCCCAGAGGAGGGGACAAAGGAGAGGGGTGGGGGCAGAAAGTGGAGACGATAGATAGATAGATAGATAGATAGATAGATAGATAGATAGATAGATAGATAGATAGATAGATAGATAGATAGATAGATAGATAGATAGATAGATAGATAAGATTTAAAAAA